AATACGGACAAAGACTTTTTACTGAGGCCTGTAGTGATGAGAGAAAGGGTAGTGGCTTTGAATCAAAAGAGGGTGGACTTAAATTGAATATACAGAGGATTTTTTTTTTTATTAGAATGGTCATGAGAAGTTGTAGATACCCCATGATGGAAGTGTTTGAAGTCAAGAAAGATGGGGCTTTGAGCAAACTCATGTGGAGGAAAGTTCCCTGCCTATGGCAGGGGCTTTCACTGGATCATCTTTAAAGGTTCCTCCCAACCCAAGTAATTCTATGGTTCTATGATAAGCTGTAAAGAATTTAGATTTTGTGATTTACTTCCATGATGAATGGAAATTTTTTAAAAATGGGGACTATTTTTCCTTCACTACTAAATTTTTTATAAGATTATAATGTTTGATTATAAGATTATATTTGTTTTGATGGTGATTAGAGTATAAACCAATAAAAACCAAGAAAATCCCATAATGGACCTGCACTGTGGATCCTCCTTAGCTATACACGTGCTCATGCCCAGAAATACTAACTTTTCCATAAAAATGGACACACACACACAGAGCATTTATTAAGCCCCAACAGAAAAGTGGTTTTATACCTGAGAAGGAAACTTTCAAATACATAGCCTATAAATAGATTATATGCTGCCTTTCTGGTTCAATAAATAGCCTGAAAAAGTGCTCTCAGGAGACATGAATTTGCAGTGTCCCCCCTTTATTTCACTGAGAGGTAAATTCTGCTCTCTTAATTTAATACTTTGTTGTCAGTATGAAAATTGCCATCACAAGGGAAGCAATTGCACTTTCTGCATTTCTTTAGGGATCAGGAAATAAATTTTTACAGAAAAAAAAAAACAACCAGTCCCATATCTCCTCATGTACAGAAAGAAGCACCAGGTTACTTGACATGAAAAACATTGGGAACTTGTGCAATGGCCAGTACACAAACCACCAACAAGCCTAGACAAGTTGGATATGACAAAATAGAAAGCCACACTGGATGTATCCTGCAGACACTGCTGCCCCTGGAACTCGGACACTGTGCTTGGAGCAGCCAGCAAGAAACTGGCTCAAGAGTATCTCACAGAGATGAATTCAAATAAAACTTTTCCAGCCTTCAATGGTACACTTGTTTCTGGTTCTTGAGTAGTTTAATTCCCAGTCACTTTTGTGTTAATAGTAAATTTGAATGTGCAAAACAAAGCATGTGGCTCCATGACCCACTGGCAGAGCCCATTCCATCAGACCCCTCATTCCAGAGGCACCTCCATGTGAGAAACAATTTTGCAGCTTTTCCAGCCATTGCTGGAGGTAAGACAACCTCCTCCCTGTGTAATAAACAGATTTTTCTTGCTGTCTTTCCCCCACCCTGCACACCACAGAAAGAAGTATGGCCCAGCAGAAGTATTTTCAAGCACAAACATGCACAGAAGGACTTAATGCTTTGTTTTGCTATACCCAGCCCCCATAAATTTATGCTCATGTAATTACTGCTCTCTGCCTACTGATAGTGAGCTAAAAATACCACACACACCCCAAATTAGAACTGGTTTCTATTTTTTGTTAAATTCCTGCAGTTGATATAGAAGAAAATGTTGTGATGAGCCACATGAGATCCCTCTTGCCTGCACTAGTCAGGACAGGAGACTGCAACACTACCAACAGAAAAACCCCACCAAAAGCATGGCATGCACAGACCAGGACAAATTTGACTGTGTTATGATACCATCAGTCCTGTATCCCTTTTCCTTTCTTCATCTGATGCTTAGTGTTTCTACAGTGGGAATGGATTTGAGCCGGGATCTTTTCTGTCAGAGCCTGCATTTAAAAGGAATATAAAATCTTTCTGCAATATCCAGATTCCTAGTTTATATTCCAAGGTGTTCCTAATTTAGAATAAACATAAAATATTTCTGTTATTTAGATAAAATGTAAAATGATATGCAAGCCATTTCTGTTCTATCCAAATTCCTACTTTATACTCTGAGGTGTCTCTCACTTACATAGAACTACTTACAATTGATGAAACACTTATTTTTGAAGCCTTTGAAAGAACATAAAATTAATCTAATATTAAATAAACAACAACAGATTTCCAACTTATATTCAGTTTGCAAAATCTTTGTCATATGAGCCATCTCTATTACATACAAGTATCATATTTGCCATTTAAGCTTCGGAGTCTCTATTTCTAAAAGCTTTGTGGAAGGAACTGTCTGGAAATCCCATAAGGTCAACCCCTTCCCAAGCACAACTAATGAGACTGAGTTTCCCAGAGTCTGTTTGAGGTGGGGAAATCAGGACATGCATACAAGTTTCCCTGTCACTTCTGATAGGCTTATCTGAGAAAATAACATTGCACAAAAACCCACCCTGAGCTGTTAATGTATTTTGATTTTTGCATCAATAACACAGAGAAATAGCTTATATGGGAGACTAGGCAAAGCTTCAGCTGGCAGCCACTGGAGACAGAAACTGCACTAAGAAAAGAGAACTAATCTAGAGCTGCATTCTTGTCAATATCCTCTCACACTTTTGCAGCAGCAGAGACAATACCAAATGCAAACATGCCCCTGCCCACTGCACAGGCCTGGATCATCACAGAGAGGCTGGGATAAGCAGATGAACATTTGGCTAAGGACCAAGGAACAGATTTTTCTGGGTTTTTTTAGATATTGAAAAGCCAAGACACAATCAAGGTCCCAGAAGGATTTCCAAAAGCGATTAGGAGCCCAAGTTCTCTGAGTCCATTGGTCCTTCTGAAAATCCTGTATAGTAACAAATGAACTGTATCACTGAACATCAAAATATCTCTTTGCTTGTGCTGCTTCTGCTAGGGACCTTGATTTCAGAAGGGCAAAGTCATTATTCTGAAAAGGTTAGAAATTTCTTCCCCTTCTTTAGTTCACCTACCTTCTCCCAGAACGGGAAAGCTTTTCCTCTTTTTGCTTAATAAAATTATTATTGCTCTATGAAGTATTTTAACTGAAATTGTAATATCAGCACTCAATCCCCTGGCTCTGGCTACCCAGATCTTTGCTTTATAGAGAACAACTTGCTTTCATTTGACTGAGGTTTACCTAGCACAGATTGCATTACAATGCCTCTGATAGTGCAGAGTTGCAGGGTCTTTTTTTTGGGTAGAAAATCCTCTTGGATTGGGAAGCCACGCAAAGGTTGCAGTGTCCATTCTGGTGCTGTCAGATAGTGGTGGGCTACACTGCCCTCTCTATTTACACATCTCTACTGACAGGAATTGTGCTGTCCATGTGGGACCTTGGGACTGTAGTTCATACACACTTTGTCCTCAGAAATGTGATACCAATCTATTGCACAAAGACTGCAAAAGAACTGCACTGATTTTTTTTTTCTTTAAAGAAGAAAGTGTTCCCTCAGTGTGATAGATACTGAACATGACTTTTGCTCAGACTGCAAATAGCAAATTACTTAATCATCAACTATTTAAGTACCTGTTTGTTTTGTCATGAAGTGAAACTTGCGAGCAAGATCCTATTACACGTAAAGTGGTTTCTTGCATCCTTAAATATAAATCCTCAAGTAAAAACAAATTAAAGATACTCCCAAGGTCACTTTAGTAAGTCTGAGCTGAGGCATCCCACTCTCTCGTATCCCACATTAAATGTTCTTTGCCTTGTCTTTGTGCCAACACCAACATTTTTGTAGCCTCTGAATGACCTTGGCAGAAGGATGGGGATGGGGATGTAAGCTGGAAGGGAGCCGGTCCTGGGGGGCATAGGAGCCATTAGCAACCACTGGCAGCAGGAACAGGGCTGGAAAGTACAGCAAGCCCTGCAAGGGAGAGGGTTTGCTAAGGACCTGTGGTCTTAAGCCGGAGATGATGGGAAGTGTTAAGAGGGCAACTGTGAAATGAGAGAAGCCCCTCAAACGGGAAAAAAAAAAAAAAAAAGGCAACATGGGGTGGTGGAGATTCAGGGTGGAGGAGAAAGAGTGGAAGGCCGCAGGGGACTGTGCAAGAAATAGGGATGCGAAAGGAACGGCAGGAGCGGCAGGCGGGGAGCCACAGGGACGGAAGGGAGGAGAGAGGCCGGGTGTGCGTGCACGGGCAGGGGGCAGGTGTGTGGAGCGGGGAGCCGAGACGGGCCGGGCCCGGGAGCGAGCGAGGGCTGCAGGGCGCGCTGCTCCCGCCCAGCGCCTGGCACGGCCGGTGCAGCGCGGGGAGCGCGGCAGCGACGGGCGCGGTCCCGTCCCGTGCGCCCGGCCCGGGGCTCGCACCCACCGGGCGCTGCCGGCAGGAGCCCCCGGGGAGCGGCGGGCGCTGGGCTGGGGAACCCGCGCTGCTCAAGGCGCCGCCGCTGCCCCGGGGCACGGAGCGGGGCGGCCCCAGCGCTCCCAGGGCTCGGCACAGCCCCGCCGCCGCTCGCTGCGGCCGCCGCCGGGGAGGGGCAGCCGCACGGCGCGGCCGCCACCGGCTGCGAAAGGCGCCCGCCCGGGAGGCGGAGGCGCCGCTGACGCCGCCGTAGTCGGGGCCGAGCCAGGCGCTCGCCCGGCCGGCAGCGGGCCCGGGGCCGCCCGCTCCGATCGGCGCCGCCCGCCCGGGCGGGCCCGGGGCCGCCCCCTCCTCCTCCCCGCAGCACATTCGCCGCGGGGCCCCCGCTGCTGTGACGTCAGCGCCGCCTGAAAAAGCGGCCCGGCAGGCGGGCAGCGGGCTGGCCAGCGGCGACAGCGACAGCGGCCACAGCAGCAGCGCCCCGCCGCCGACATGGTGTCCCCCGTCACCGTGGTGAGTGCGGGCCCCGCGGCGGGCGGGGCGGCGGGGCCCGCGCCCCTTCCCACCCGCTCCCCGGGCGCTGTCCCCGCTCCCGGCCGGTGCCCTCCCACCCGCTCCCCGGGCGCTGTCCCCGCTCCCGGCCGGTGCCCTCCCACCCGCTCCCCGGGCGCTGTCCCCCAGCGCGGCGGGCGCTCCTCTCCTCCCGCCGCCGGGAGCCCGAGCACTGGCAGCCACCGCCGATCCCCGCGATGCTCACCCCGGCCTCCCCCGGCAGCTGTTGCTCCAGTGGTGCGCCTGCCCGGGCGGCTCTCCGCTGCGTCCTCCTCTTGTCGTGTGTGTTTTTAAAAACAACCACGGTACGTCTGCTCTACGTGCGCTGCATCTGCTCAGAGCGGAGCTGCCCCAGCTGCCCCAGGCTCGCGTCGCGGCAGTGCCCGGCAGCATCCTTCTGTCCCCGCGGCCTCCCTTGCCCTCGCTGGCACCTCTGCCACGCCATCCAGAGGTGCTTTGCTGTCCGGGTCCTGGTTTGGGCTCAGGCGTGTGTTGACCCCCGTGTGGGGCAGACCTTACCATGGGTTGGGTGACCTCTCGCTGAGACCTGGTCTCGTCTGCAAGTCAGTCTGGCACTTCCATCACCTCACTGGGATTGGTGTCACCTGCCTGTCTCATGGGGTGTCACGATGCTTAATTAACGTAACCAGCAATAAGGCAGCAACTCGCTGCTGTTATTCTCAGTAGGTGATGTGTGCAGTAGAACTCTTGGGTTGATGGAACCAAGCTGGTAACTGAAGGAGCTGTGGCTTGTGCCAGCAATACGAGGAGCTGCCCCTGCAGGTGAACAGGGGCTACTTGTTTCAATGCTGAAAGAGCTGCCAGAACAGCGGAGAAGCTGCACTGTTAGACATGCTGCTTTGCATGTTCCCCTTTCTGGAAAGTGAGGGATTTTTTGGAATACCCCAGCAGAATTAACACATGCTGTAAGGATAACTGTTGGTGGGAAAGTTTCCTGGTGCTTTGCTGCAGCGCTGGAGACCTACTGCTGGTATCCTTGTTCCCTGTGGATCTGTTCTCTTCTTGTTTTGAAATACTTTGGTTAAGGGCCAGGCTATTGCTTACTCTCTGGCAGGTAGAAATCTTGTCCTGATCTTAACTCACAAAGCTGGCGTTCAAAACTTTTTAATTGCTCTGCCAGTTCTGCACTGCAGGCTGTATTGTCTGATGGTGTGGATGACTTTCCCCCCGGTTATCAACATGTACCTGGTAAGTTCATTAGCAGCCTGGGGATGACTTTTATCTCTAGAGACAGAGGGAAGTAGCTTGGAAATTATAACTTTGTAGTGCCAAACTTTTTTGGGGTGGTTTTCCAAAATACTTAAAAAGGTTTAGTATCTTTGTGCTTCTGTGCCATAAACTAAATTTGTCCTTCAGTAATGCTTTTGGTTATAGTGAATTGTGTATGTGTATCTTGGAAGTAAAATCTCATGTTGGGACAGTACTGGAATGGCTCAGAAACTGACAGGATTTGTTTCACAGTTTGCAGAAGGCAGTACTTGGTTGTTGTGATAGTGCATCTGGGGTGGTCTTGCAGAGTGTTATTTCAACTGAGTTTTGAGGCAGATTACTAAAACACAAGTACGTGCTGGGAAGGGTGTACAGAGTTCAGACCGGAAGACTTTAGGAAGGTAAACTGGGGGGGAAAATGAAAAAAACCTTATTTTCTCACTTGCCCTTTTGACATGTTACAAAGCACATTTTTGCTCTGGCTGTACCCCTGACATGTGAACAGTTTACTTCTCCAAAGGCAACTAATGCAGGTGTGAAGCTATGGGGAGGTGGAGGGATGATAAGACCGGGAGCTGTGACCAGAGCTGCAGCTATTTGCCATTGCTGTGGAGGTGAGAGGGGAGGGCGACTGATTTTCACACAGCTCACAAAGAGAAGTGCTGCAAGCCTTCAGTGTTCTGAGGAGCAATTTTTTGCACCTCTCTGTCACTGGTTATCACGTCACTGTTGCTCTGAAGGAGGTGCTGCTCCGTGCTGGCTGTCCCATGGCCCAGAAGGACGGCTGGAATTGGTGTCACACAGCAGCCTGTGCTGCCCAGGAGCGTGGTGTGGCCCTTGCACAGCTGAGGGTGAGGAGCAGGATAGCTCTACAGCTGGTGGGCTTCCTTCAGCAAGTCTCTTGCTGAAGGGAAGGGCAGTGGCCATCAGTCTGGCCACAGCTGGGTGCTCGCCTTGGGGCCCAGCCCTTATCTCTGTGCTGCACTGCCTTTGCTCTGGGTCTTTGGAGCCAGCATGGATATCACTGCCATGACATGATGGGGGAATTCTCTGTAGGGGCAGCACCTGAGGCATAATCAAATTAGCCAGAGGAATTGATTTGTCTGTAGTTTATGTCCTCTCTCAGCACACTGCAGCATCAGCCTCAGTGGGGAGAAAACACCAGAAGAGCACATGTGAGAGTGACAGGATTTTTCTTGCCGTGCTCAAAGTGATGGCCTTTGTACAATACTGCAGCACGTGGCTCTGGCTGCTTACACACAACCTGCTCTCCTGCATCTCCCACTCTTTCCTTCCTTAGGACACTTTTAACAAGAGTTAAAACCAATGAGCTCTAAGTCTGCTGTACAACTGGTAGTGGGAGGGAACCACACAAGGAGGCATGGTCCATGGAGAGGATCAAGCCAGGACTGCTTGTTTGTACTGGCTGCCAGGTGTGCATCATTGCCTGGAGGGCTTGGAATGTCCACCCAGTGCACACAGAGAGACCACAGCGTTGTGCAGAGCTCATCAGGCTGTGGTCTCTGATGCTGCACAGTTCATACGTGCTGAGTGGGGGGAGCATGCCCCCAAATAAACAAGTCTGGTGCCAAAGTACCTTTTAACATATTGTGCTAGGTCCTCAGTTGGGATAAAGCTCTGGAGTCCTGCTGGTGTTAGAGTCTAGACTTGCATGGTGCTGGGCTGTGGCAGGGAAGCTGCATTTGTCTGCCATCCTGTTCCATCTGGTGAGTGATGCTCACTCTGGTTGGAAGTCACCTTGGCGGAAAGCTTTCACTGCTTACTCTGCTGGCAAGCAGGAGTGTCCTGTTTCAAAATTTTTATTCTTGATACTGCTCTGATTAAGAGCTGTTTTTTCTGCATAAAGGCATGTCGACTGAGAGCCTGCAGTTGAAGCACAGTATTGATAAACAGCACATTTGCTTCATGGATACATGAGATTTCATTCCATTTTTGTTCCGTAATCACTGGTCCCACCTTAATAAAAGAGCACTCATTAGTGATTTTTGTCCAGCTCCCCCCACACCCAGCACTGTTGCCTAAGTGGTTTTTAGTGTGAGCTTGTGGGAGATAGCTCTTGCCCTAAGGACCTTTCTGCCCAGCAGGCACCATGATTGTAGGAGCCACAAGTGTGCAGGAGATGAGCCTGGAGACATGCAGTCATTCTGACATTTACATAATGCTCCTTGCTCAAAGGGACCCTATTTTGTCCCTAAAGTTAGGACTAAACTTAGAGTAGGGCTTCACTGCACTTTGAGGAAAACAGGGCATGGGAAATACAGATGTTAATTGGCTGAGGGTACATCTCTTTGCGGGGAGGTTATAGATGATATCAGTGTGTCTTTTAGAACTAGGGGCTCTCATCCCTACAACATTCCCTCCACACCTAACTTGTACTCAACCCAGCACAGCCCTATGCTCAGGAGACAGGTGAAACACTCTGTGGGACAGATTATTGCCCAGAATCCATGTCTTAACAATCCCCATCCCTTCCCTTTTGTCCTCTGGTCTGTTTGCATCTTTAAACAGATAGCTGGGTTGGGAAAGGATATATTGTTTTGACTACATGAAGGAAGTGGAGCCCTCAGCCCTGTCCTTTCTGGGTGGGAAGTAGCAGCACCCTCCTGAGAGCAGCCCTTGTCAGCCCTCAGGAAAGATGCAGGATATCACTGGGACAGAGTATAAAAGTGATTTGCAAAAACTGGGCAAAGTACCTGACAGGTACAGTCTTGAAAGATATTCACCAGCAAGAAATATGGAATAGGGCTGGAGGACTGGGTGGGTATCATCTGTGTTTCTGAACAGGGGCCAAACCACACTGATCCAGATGGGTATGGAAACCTGATGTAAGTCATGTTGCTTAGATACCCTGCACTGTGGGCAATTGTAGAAGTAGTAGGTTGAAGCATAGCTTTAAAGGTTTATTATTAGGAAGGGTGCTCTGTAATCCTCAAACTTCTGCTGAAAACAAGAAAGCCAGATCACACTGGAACTATTTCAGCCTTTGCTTCTTACAGAGAGGATGTATTGTTTCTGCACTAATGAATGAAATGTTAGCAACCATCTAAGTTAGAAGTAACTCTTATACTTAATTTTGCTCATTCTCTGTTTCTGTGCAACATTGATGCTTTCATTGTAATTTCCCCCATTACTTAAATGCATCATAAATTGGGATTTTATTATGCGGGAGGCTTGTAGACATGCACATTTTTATACTGCATAGACAATTATGGAAATATGCCACTACTGTAAAAACCAAGCCAATGTAAATGAAAGATAGAAAATATTTCTAAGCATCTGAGCTCACTGAAGAAAGGGAGGGAATCATCACCTTAGGAAAGCTTAGCTGGACCTTAGTAATATTTATGTCAGTCCCACCTTTTGGAAGAAGCCTAAAAACTTTGGTCCTATGAAGGAAAAAGCTGTGCTGATTTATGCCAGCTAAAGCCCAGGCATAGTGTTACATGCCACGATTTATTTTTTCAAACTGAACTCGTGCATTCTTGTTGTGACATTGACATTCTTTGCTGTAGCTGTTGCTAGGGGAGGGTGGGCTAGGGGAGCCTGCAAAGTGCAGGCTTCTCTCACACTCTTCCCAGTGCCAAGGGAGGGAGCATTAAGCAGGCAGTGCTGATCACTGCTGCAGGCAGTGCTGTGGATTAAAGGCTTCATTAACCCAAGTGTATCACTCGAGGCACATATGTTTGTTGTTCAAAGTGTGCTTTGAGCATTAAGATTGTGGGTGCAGCTCAGAAGTCTGTACTTACACATAATTTCTCTGAATGGAAAGAGATGCATTTCTTCCCTTCTCTTCTCCTGTCCAAGTATGTCTATCCAAAATACACTGTGTGCAGCAGAAGAGCCAAAGTTATCTTCTCTGTGGGTAACTTCATAGTGCTGAGGAAATAATAACTCCAGTGAAATTAGACTCTTAGAAAAAGCTGGCATCAGGAACCCATCTTCTGCTAGTATGTGGAAACTCTTGAACAGCAAAAAGACTATTAATTACATAACTCCCTTCCCTCCTGGAGGCCCAAGTGGTTATTATATCACCACTTAATTTTTCTACTGTCCTTCATGTCACACAATGCCCAGTATACTTGTCATTACAATAGAGATTATTATTATTATTATTATTATTATTATTATTATTATTATTACTACAATAGAGTAGATTTTGCTTACTGCAACATACACAAATTTAGGGTGATGGTTATTCCTTCTTCTAGCCCACTTGTGCCCTTCCTATATCCATTTCTTATACTGCCATGATCTAAATAGCATTTCAGCTAATGACAGGTTTCTGTGTGACAGATGTGTCAGTCTAGAGCATCCCTCCATGTAATGCTGGATGTGAACAAGTATCCATGTGACACAGCTCGGGAAACTGTGTCTAGGTGTTTACTACACACCACCAGAGCTGAAAAGCAGTAGATGGGCTGGGCAAGAGCTTTCCAGAGGATTTCAGGTGTGCTGGGCTGGGAAGGATTTCAGATACCAGCAGGGCCCAGGGTCTCACACTGCAGCCTCTGACTCAAGAGTTGCACAGACACAGTTTCTCTCTCTTATTTCTCAAGAAATGTAACTTGTGTCTCTTGTGTTAAGTCAGTGTTGCAAGGCTGACTCTTGTATTGCAAATCTGCCTGTTAGTGAGGATAGTGGTTCTTTTGATTCACCTTCCTGCAATCCTATGGAAATGCCTTGTTTCTACCAGCAGGCTAGTCTTCTCCCAAAAACGAATTCCTGTAGATTCTGAAAGACACGTTCTTGTCAAAACTGAGAAAAATGAGACAACCCTTGTTACTGAATTGGCCCTGAGACTTTTCTCAAATTTGAATGAATGGTAAAGTTTCATGTTTTTTTGCTTCTCACCAGATACCAGCTTTGGAGGCAGATATGGCATCAGGCAGTAAATTTCCTGTTCATATCAAAATGAGTGCCTTTCTGCTGGTTGCAAGTAGCCTCTGACTGAATCATTGCTTGAGACTGAGGGAAGTTTGACTTTAAGCCAGCTGCTCATTTATCAGCACATTCTAGACACACCAGACAGATCCTCAGATTTACGTGTCCCCCATGGCTTCAGCAGAACTGGGCTGAGGCCATGGCTTATCTACTGTATTCCTGTTTGCCTGTGTCTTTGATTTTGTTAAAGTATGGATAGCAGTGCTGACTTGCTCTCCATTGCAGGAGGAACTAAGCAAGTTTTGTGGCTTTTCCGTGCAACCCTGATATAAAAGGAGTGTGATGACAAGGTTATCACTTAAATTGTGTTTTAATTGAAGTTTCCACTTTGCTTGGTTGCATCCCTGGATTTGCACCCTCAATATAAAGGGCATAATCCTGGTAAACAGCCGCACACTCGTTTGTGAGTGTAGTCTGCATTTGTTTATGCAGCTGGATTACAACAGGGGTTTTGAAAATAAAGGCCTTGGTTTATCAGTGCAGGTCCTGGGAGTGTGTGGGTTAGTGTTTGTGTGGGTTAGTGTTTGCACCTGCCCACTCCACATCTGTTGAGACTGGCTGGGAAGATCCAATTTATCTTCAGGTAAGTTGTGTCTGATACTGACTTACCCAGATCACAGCATCTTGACACAAGAATAGATATTGGAAATAAAATCTTTGGCTCTGCTATCATCCTTTGACTTTAACACCCTCCTGCCTCTTAAGCATATTGATCCCATGATAACATTGAGAAGGGCTGCTGTTTTTTTTAAGGTATCACAGCAGCATCTCTCTAAATACACATCTTGGGATTTATTGCTATTTTTTCCCTTCTGATTTCCTTTAATATCAGTATTTCACAAGCTTTCAACCTGCAGGATATGATACACAGGTAGAGTAAAGCTTTTCATTCACCTTCCTAATAGGCATAAGACAAGCTGAGGAGTCCCTCCTGGGCTTCCCAGCACAGCCCTATTTGGTATTATTGCAGCCCCTTGTGAGGATTCATACAGCAGAAGTCTCTTGTGCAGAGCGTCAGCTTTCCCAGACACTGGCAGCTGCTTTCCCCTCCTGTTTCAGTTCTTCCTTCCTGTTCCTTTTGCAAAAACCTCACCTCTGCCAAGTGTGCACCAGTCTGTTGTGTGAGCCAGAATTGCCTTTTGAATGCCTGGGGCGGTTTCACCCTTGGTGTGTCTTTGGCAATGCTGGTGGGGCTGTACAGCCTGTTGTGAGCCACCTGCCTTCTGGGCTGCACTACTGCCTCTTTAGCTCTTCCTGCAGAGGGCTGTGACAGCACCAGTGCCTGCAATGCCCTTCCTTTAGACCCACGTTATTCCCCACAGATTGCAGGTAAAATGACATTGCTCTGCTGAAGAGGTCACTTCTGGATGGAAGGGCCTCCCTTCCCTCACAAATCCCAATCCCTGGTGGCAAAGCACCGTGGGCCCGGGTAGAGCTTTGCCAAGTGCCCATTTTCCCTGAGTACACATTCTTCCTTCCGTGCATCCCCGCTGCCACAGCGAAGTGACAGAGTGGCTGGGGCCCTCCAACAAGCACATACGGGTTGCAGTGGGTTGTGGGGTGCAAATAATACTGGAGAGGGATTTCAGTCCTGGGAACAAAGCACTCTCTCTGCAGATCCCTCTCTGCTATTACCTGGAGATTCAGCCTGCCCTTGGTGCTGACAAGGAAAGAACTGACAGCTCTCCCTGGGGTACTTTGTTTTGGGTCTGCACCAGAGGCTGGAGAGAGGCTCCTGTTTTGCCACACAGCTCTGGGGGCAGATGTCAGTGGGTGACACTTGTCTGTAGCAATGGGCCTTGCAAGTGGGGTGCTGCTTTTTGCTGTGGCTCTGTGACTTGCAGCTCGCATGTTGTGCTTGCCTAAAACTGCTTCTTCCTGGGTAACAGAAGTCTGAACTCCCTGTCACAGAGAAGTGTGATATAAATAACGATGAGTCTTCTGAGAACAAGTGCTTGTAGTCTGGAAACCCTCCCCAGGATAAGCTGGGGAGACTTTTCTGTAAGCAGAAGAAATTTTTTATCTGACTTCTAGTGTGACAGGCCAAATAAGAGGAATTGCCTGGGACAGGTACCAACTGTGCATTTCAGGGTGCTGGCTACCTGGCTCCTGAATTCCCTGTGGCTTTAGAGCCTCCTCCTGATGTCCAGAGTAGCAGTGGGATACGGCCCCACCTGACCTCACTCAAGAGGAGGGGTGTGTGCCCTGCTGTGGCAGCTCTGCATCTCTGATGAGCAAAATGAAAGGACAGACCCATTGTGGTTCAGGTTTTTAAGCATCTGCAAGGGGTTCTTTTGTGAGTGTTACAGCAAAGGAAATGTTTTGAGAGGCTTGCTTTCTGCTACACAAAAAAGAAGATCTGGAATCCCGGGGGGAAAGGCAATCTTTGCTCTGAGATAAGATGCTTTCAGGCAAATCCTATATTTTTGCTTTCATTTCTGAGAGCCATTGAACTATCCTGAAAGCACTAGTCTATGACAGCCCCTGCAGGCTTGAAGAGGCTTTTGAATTCTTGACTAGTTTAGTATTGCTAGTGCTTGGCAGTGGCACATTATTGACCATGGTCTCCAAAACTGCTGACAGCTATAGCATTGCTACAGACGCAGAGTCAATCATTACTACTGCAGGTTAAGAAGAAGTTTTTAAAATTGCCCTGCTTGTGGTCTTGTGCCAGTCTGGTAGACAGGACATATGATTGGTAATGGCAAAAAAGCAAACTCACCCCCAAAAACAAACCCTAGCAAAAATACGTACTTCCAGGCTGTCTTCAGGGTGAAATGTATTTGTCTGTAATTTTTTATGAGTTAACATCTGCTAAAGAAAGGCTTCACCACCTTGAAGGCTTCCCTGCAGTCCCAGAAAGCCAAGGGCAGGTACCCAGTGACTTTGTATGGTATTGGTGAGTGTAGCAGTACCTGACTTTGCCTGGCCAGGTAGCAACAGGGCAGTACAGGAAAGTCCCAGAAACACTGTTGTGTACCTCATTAGCCAATCTAACAGAATTTCATCTATTCAGTACAGGAGATAAATTTTATGGATACTGTAACTTCCTTAACTGCTGGAGGGAACACAGTGGTCCATTGTCTCAAGATAGCTTTGGGCAGTGTCACGGTTTAAAAGGCAAGAAGTAGGAGTGGGCTCCTCTTGCAATATGCGGCACAAGCAGTGCCCTGAGTAGTAGGGTGATTTCCTTGGCTTCAGAACCTCCTCCATCTACTTTAGGCTCCTAAGGGACTGTTCCCTCACATTTCTAGAGCATCCTACAAGGAGTCTTGAGGGTAAGACTCTGGTTTTCCATTTGTGACTTCTATGCATACCGCTGTCTGCAGATGCATGTTTTTTATCTCACGGGTGTAGCAGCAAAGAGCTGCCATGTCCAAGAGCTCCCAGGTCACAGTGGCTGCTGAGGCAGCCTGGCCTGGTCAGCAGCCCTGTGAGCGTGGTCAGTGTGGCTGCTCAGCACCCAGCGTGTTTCACATTCTTCTTCCTTAAGCACCTGCTGACAAGATGTGACTGCGCTTTTACTTGCACTGCAGAAGTGGTGTCTGCAACCTCGTGTCCCTGCCACTGCCACAGCACAGGAGCCTCTGGACGAGTGCTCCCCAGCTCTCCTGGCACAAACCAGCCCATTTTTGCCGCTCAGCTGCTGCCACTCAGCTGGGTGGCCGTGGCGTGCCCGCGGTGCCTGGGCGTGCTGCCTCGCTGCGGGGGCTCGAGCTGCCGTTCCACCTGGGAGAGGCTGGCACAGGCAAACATTGCCCTGCTGCCAGGCATCTGCAGGGAACCTCTGCTGCAAATTGCCTCCCTTCTCTGCACATCTGAGGGGCAGTCACTCATCTGGAAGCACCCTGGTGCTGACAGGTTTTCATCCCCTCTATGGTTAATCTGGAGATTCGTTTGAGTGTTAATGTGACTGCAAGTTGGGTAGCACTTTGACTTGGTGGTGAAAATAAGTTTTGTTGTGGTTCTTTTTCCTGCATGCAGCTGTGTCTGTAGCAGCCCAGCCATGCATGGGGGCTCTTGTTAGATGCCAGTTTGATTGATCCTAACCCACTGCCTGCTCCTCTGTGCCTCCACCAAAGGACTACTTTTCTGGTGCCAAGAATTTGTGAAGCAATATAGCTGAGTTCACCACCCAAGAACTGTGAGGGCCTGTGCCAATTTTTTAATTGCATTTTTCTGGCAAATATCCCCAGCTTGGTTTTAGGAAGAAAAAGTCAAGTATTTCTAGCTCTCTGCCCTGTGTTGGTCTGTTGTGAAGCAAAGCTTGGAAGTATAGCTGGACCTTACTTTGCTTAACTGAGGTGGGGAAGAGGGTACCCAGACTGCTGGGGTAGAGGGGGGAATGATGGAACTCCTGCAAATCAGCCCTATTTTGCAGGAGTTTAAGAGACCCTGGTGATGGAAGAGCTGCCTTGGACATTCATGTGTCTGAGCTGGGAGGATGATCTTTTTGCAGGCTGGAAGTGTTCAGGCAGAGTCCTGTTATTTTTGGCTTGTGCTGAACAACAGAGGCTCCTGTTAGACAAATCCATGATTTTTTGACCCCTTGCAAACAGGTCTGACTGAACCAGCTGAGCATGAGCTGAGTTTCACTGCATTGCCCTTGTGGGAGAAACAGAGGCCCTGGGAATGTCAGAAGCTGCAATAAAGTTGTCGCAAAACTCATTGCATGGCATAAGCATGGTGAAGACAGGATTATCAGCATGCAGCTTCTCCCACATGCAAAACATGTACCATCTTCTGGCTGATTTATTTGCTATTTCACAAATCTGTTTTAGATGCAGCCTCTACAGTCTTGTCTCCACTTGAGGGGAGGAGGCTTTATCTATCACTCTGAATTTCCTGCAGCATGTGGAGCCTGTTCAGGAGCCATCTGCCTTGGATGCTTGGCCCTTGGAGTCTCCAACACAAACATAAAGCCTCCTATTAATTGCAAAAATATGTTGCACCAACACAGTATTTCAGGCATGTTGACTGGCTGATTCAGTAACTCTTCAGCACCCTCCATAACAAGCACTTACTTTCAGAATTTTATTCAGGAGCAACCTGGGATGTGTACAAGCCAGTACCTTCCTTTACAAATGGCAACAGGCAATCGGTTGTCCCCCAGGAGCGTGTTTGTTCCTGCAGGAGAGCAGACCTTGAGAGCCTTGCAGAGAACCACATATTCTGGGCAGTGAGAAACAAGAGCCATGGGCTTGCAGTGGCAGCAAACATGGCAACAAAGCCAAATAAACATTTTTTGGCACACAACTGGGGGTGGGAGCTATTATCACAGTAGGGGAGAACCAAGGCAGGATCCACAATGCTGGATGCCAAAAGCCAGGAGGAGCAGCTCAGACACAAAATGGTACAAGGCTGATGGGAGGGCTGGGTGGAGGACAACAGCCCAGCTTTTTTTGGCCAGTGCACACAGCTGTGCTCAAGTGTTGCTCAGTGGAATGGCTGGGATATTATTTTTACAGCACTTTTCCTGGAAAGCTGCACTTTGCAGCCTAGTGGCTGTGAACAATATCCCCACAGCAGGCTGGCACTCAGCTGGTGTCTGTATACTTATTTTCATTGCAGGCTGATTTAGTGGGCTTTGCAGAGAGAAGAGCATTAATTGATATTCCACTCTTTTCTGGGACTAGTGCAAGGTTTAAGAACAATGAACTCTGGCCAACTCTGTGCAACAAGCTTCTGATGTTCTTCTGTACCTCAGGAGCAAGATATCTCCTTCCCTGTGGCAGCTGGATTTGCTTTCCCACTTGTGAAATAGATACCGACAAATGGCTCCAAAATGTTAAAGAAAATCGAGGCACTGTCTTATGAGTGTAACTGTTCCTCTATGGATGGGGCTTATTCTGGAGTAGAGGAGCCAGGTGTAAATTTTTTGACTTGGTTATGTGCCTGCAGCAGTCATAACAGGCTATGTACAGCAGTATGTCAAACTGGAGCAGAATGAGTACAGACAAAGCAAGAAGGGATCCTGTAAACCTGTGAACGCCTAGAGAGGTGGATATCCAAGCCCCAAGCCTCTAGAAAGCTGCAAGTGCCAGTACCATGTTCTGTTTGAAGATCACAGAATGGTTGGGATTGCAAGGGACCTCTGGAGATTATCTGGCACAAAGTCTCTTGATGAGAGCCAAGACACAACTTCCTCCTAGTCTGCCCAAGTCTTGGAGGGCTTCACTGGATTTCGTTGGATACAGATAACTCAATAAATAATATTTCTACTGTAATTCCAAAAATACAGAGCTAGTGGCTTTATAGCAGTGTAAACTAGTTTTTAAAGTCTCTGAATACCTTAGTAGCCATAGCAGTTGAGAAAAAGCCCCGAATTATGCTCAGTTTAGAAATTAAAATGTTGGAAATACTGCCTTGTTTTTGCATTCAAGATATTTTATGTACTATATTTCAGCATGGAGTAAATTAGCAGTGGTTGGAGAAAAGATTTGGGGAGAAAAATACAATAGAATTAGTAACAAAATGGCAAAGCCCAGCTTAAAGCCATGACAATCACACACATTAGCAAAAAAGGTCTTGTCACCTCCATCAAGTGCTTTATTTTCCAGCCCCATGGTGCAGCTCCATCTCACATTCTGTCTCTGAGACACAGGGACAAAGGAGATGGGTGGTTTAATCCAATTTATCCACACAGACAAGAAATAATGTTCCCCTTCTCTGTGGTACAGTGAGTCCCATTATGGATTATATGCTTGGCCTTCCTCAAGCCACAGCTTCCAGTCATGTTGGTACATGGTTTTCCAATACCAGTCTTGGCTTGTCCTTCAGGTGGCAAATTGCCCCATCATCCCTTTCCAAGCCTCAGCTATGTGGCCAAACAGAGGATGGTCCTCTGATTGTCTCAGTTTTTCTTGGAGAACTTTTCCAAAGTATTTCCAGTGCCATTCATAGGGCTGTCATCTTGGTCAGAGCCATAAAAGGGGCTCCAGTGAGCTGCAGCATTCTGTGATGGTCAAGGGCATGCTTGGAAATAACTCATCTGAAGTATACTTGGAGAAGAAATGTTAAGAAATAAAGTGTCA